AGTCATGTTCTACCAGTCATTGTAAAATGCTTCATCTGATTGTCCTCTCTACTCTACGGTGACATTGCTACAACTAAAGGATCTCTGGAAATTCTTGAAAATGTAATCTTAGTTTTATTCTTATTTATTCTTACTCTAATATTACAGACAGCTTGCTTTCTAATAACTTGTTTAACAATCTGATGTTTGTGTGGTATTTTCTGTCTAAAGATGCCAACTGAGGCCTAGATGACAATAAAAATTAAAAATGTATATGTGTCTCCGTTAAAGAATAATTTGCTCTTTAAGTACTCATCTGTCTAATTCTACATTTTTAATATTGTATTCAACTAAGGGATGAATTGGAGCTATTAAAAGTCTTGTATATGGGGAATAGTGGTTTGGAGACTGCAATGGGTGTAAAAAGCAGCTGGGAAGAATACTGAAGACACTGATGAATGCATCATTCCCTCAGAAGGAAACTGCTGTTCCTCAGAGAGGAACAGAGAACAAAGGGCATGAGAATGCTCTGTGGAATAAAAAAATAAGGTGCAAAACAGCATAATCAGAGAAGAATTATTATAGGCTAAATACTCTTTTCTCTAAAAATACTATCAGCAAGATTCTCACTCACACAAGAAGCGGAAGGGATGTTGCAAAAGAGTAAAGCTACTACTAGCAGAAAAAGTGAGCTTGTTCTATATTCCTGTTACCTTATTCCTCTTTATACTGTTAACACAACTGCACTATCAAACACACCATTGAAGTCTTTGCTTATTTAAAAATAAATTGGTCAACAAAATAAGGGACACACTGAGAGAAAACAAAAGTGATGGGTGAGTTTGACTTATTTTACTTTGGAATTGAGCTTTAAAGCGGAGTTGAAAAGTCCTACCTCTGAGGGTGAAATCCAAGCAAGGAGGGCCAGGGGCAAGGGCACTGGTTTGAAACTTAGGAGCCCCGAGTTCAATTCCTTGCTTGGGCCCGGACTTCATAGGTGACCGTGGGCAAATCATTTAGGCCCACTTGACAGATGGGGAATTGAAACACAAAGAGACTTGGGGCCAGATCCTCAATGGTATTTAGGCACCTAATTACCATTAAAATCAGTGGAAGTTAAATGTGTATCGTTGAGGACCTGGGCCTAGCCTCTGTGCCTCAATTGCCCATCTCTTAAATGGGAATATTTCTTCCCTACATGCCAGCTGTGTTGTGAAGATAAATACATTAAAATGTGTGAAATGCCCAGATACTTATAATGGGGGGCCATTTTTAAAGCATTTTTTTATGAAAGAGGACCACTTAGTAGGTTGGCAGGTGGTTTTCTAGGGAAACAGCTTAGATGGACTGTTATGTGATGGTTTTGTCTCAAAACAAGTAAGTTTTGACATTGTATCCCTGCAGTCTGAAACCAGAAGGCTATCAGACATCCATTTAGATGTGATTGTCCTAATAAAAATATTGCCTGATGCATTGGTGTCAAAAGAAACAAAATTGGATTAGTCTTCTGAAAGCTTTAGGAGTTTCCAAATATAATTCCAATTATCTCTTTCACAGTGATGCTATACAGGTTTCTCTGTGATAGGCAGGTGCGTGAAGAAAATGTTGGTAGGACAATAGTCTAAGGTTGAATTTGTGGTGAGGAATCTCAGTAGAATCACAATACAATTATTCTTGTAAAATCTAGTATAAGGTTGATCAGTCAGCTCTGTGAGCGAGAGTGACTGCCACCAGAAATGGGACTTTCCACATTTAAAAAGAATTTTTTTTTCCACAGGAATTGAGTGGTCTTAAAGGACCTTTCATCCGCTTTATCAGGACCATGCATCTTGCTAACCAGGTGCCTCTAATGGGTGGTTTCAATGTTAAATATGACAATGTGTTTTAAGACACTAAGTGGTCTCCTTTCCCTTTAGGACATCAAAGTAGGAAAAATGGTACTGGAATTCTGGACCAATAGACAAAAGAAGCCCCTGGGCTTGGAGACAGGCACTGAACTTTCATGTCAGAGTACCTAGGCCCCCGTCACACAACAACTGTGCCAACAAGCAGAAACACCGTGGTGACATGGCACTGACCAAAAAGAGGCACCAAAAGAAAGAAAAAACAAATATCAGTGTGTCAAAAAAAAGAACAGGCATAGAGCAGCAAAAGCAGTACTTAGCCCTAAAGACTGGTGCTATCTCCCACTATAGCAGACACTGAAGTAATGATACAATGGTGTCAATAATCTATAAAACCACACTGGAACTGACTAGAAGACAAGGCTATTAGGAAGAAAAGAATACCCAATAAAGTGTGGTTAGGATCTGCTGAAACAATGGCTCCCAAGGCACAGGCTTGTGCTGAAAGCTATTTCATTATGGTAAAGAAGAAATTGAAAGGTCAAGGACAGCACATATACTTTGCTGCAGATGGCACATGACAGCCAATAGAAGCCTGTCAGCTTCTGCTGCCCTGAACAGAGAGGTATATGCAATGTAGTTGTAGCTGTGTAAGAATCCAGGAACAGATATTAAAGGGACATGGTGGGTGAGGTAATATCTTAAAATGGACCAACATATGTGTGTGAGAGAGACAAGCTTTCAAGCCACAACTGAAGAAGAGCTCTGTGTGGCTTCAGAGCTTGTCATAGAAGTTGATCCAATAAATTAATCCACCTGGTCTCTGAGTAACGCTAAGGAAGCTCTGCAAGTCTCACACTAAGGGGTTAAGACTCAAGTGTGAAAATTCTGTACAGACAGCATCTTTAGAGAAAAATCGTAACATTAACGCAGGCCTGCACAACATGCGGCCCGCATGGGCTCATTGTGCGGCCCACGGGGGTTGAGTAGATGGGCTCACTGTGCGGCCTGCGGGTGGAGGGAGGGGGGGGGTGAGTAGACAAGCAGCGGGTGAGGGAGGGGGGCTGAGTAGATGAGTGAGCGGGCAGTGGCAGGGAACGAGTAGACGAGCCGGGAGGGTGGAGGGCTGAGGAGGCGAGTGGGCGGGCAGTGGCGGGGGGTGAGTAGGCGAGCCGGGGCAAGGGGGCTGAGGAGGCGAGTGGTGAGGCGGTGGCTGACCTGTTCTACTGATCTGGTCTTGCTCCAATCCCCTCTCCCAGGGCCGGCTCCAGGCACCAGCAAAACAAGCAGCTGCTTGGGGCGGCACATTTGTAGGGGCGGCATTCTGGCGCCGGCCATCATAGGTACCGACTCCGGGGCATGGGAAAAAAGTGCCCTCGCTGCCCCAGCTCGCCTCCGCCTGCTCCCCTGAGCGCGCCGCCACCGCTCCGCTTCTTCTCCCTCCCTACCAGGCTTGCTGCGCGCGAAACAGCTGTTTCGTGCAGCACGGCTGGGAGGGAGGAGAAGCTGAGCGGTGGGCGCTCGGGGGAGGCGGTGGTTGTGGAGCGGAGGTGAGCTGGAGTGGGGAGCGATTCCTCTAACCCCCCCCATTACTTCCTGCGCCCCACCCACCCTAGCTCACCTCTGCTCCGCCTGCTCCCCTGAACGCGGTGCTGCTCTGCTTCTCCGCCCTCCCTTGCCTGAGAGGGACAGGGGAGAAGCGGAGCGGCGGCATGCCCGGGGGAGCAGGCGGAGTGGAGGTGAGCTAGGGCGGGACGTCACGGGGGGCCCGTAGGAAGCAATTGGGGGGAGAAATGCGGCACGCCAGGGGAGGAGGCGGTGCTCGGGATTTGGGGAAGGGGTGGAGTTGGGGTGGGGCTGGGGGCATGAAAAAGAAAGGGGAGGCGGCCAAAAATTTTGTTGCTTGGGGCGGCAAAAATCCTAGAGCTGGTCCTGCCCTCTCCAAGCGTTGCAGCTGTCCAGAGGTGCCTGCCTTCCACGCCTTCCTCATTCACACCTCATTCATTCAACAGGGCAATCGATTACAAAGTGGGGGGAAAGATCTTATTCTACTTCTAGCAAAAAG